TTTTTTTTTTGGGTCCGGACATTTTTGCACCCTGGGGACCGGTCCGGACAATCCGGTGTCCGGTGATGTCCGGATCACCGGACAGTCCGGACTGGTCCAAACACTGGTCTGGAAGACAGTCCGGAAGTGTCCGGGTCCGCAGTTACCATGCAAGAAACGCAGACCTGCAACATCCGAAGAAGGAGATTATGTGCGGGTTAAAATGTCTGAGTTTTCAGAAGAAGGCTAGGTATCAAGGAAACCTTTTCCCATGTACTATGGTCCTTGGGAAGCTCTGAAGGTGGTAGGGGATGATGCATTTGGTCCTTCATATGTCATTGACGTGCCACCTCATCTACGCACGTATTCTATCTTTCAAACATCAAAATTTTATCCCTATATTGCTGCTACTTCCTTTCCGTACCGTGAGCATATGATCCCTCGTGACATAGATGACAGTCATGAAATTGACAGAACCATAGCACATACAGGAAAGGGAAAGAACAGACAGTACCGAGTTCATTTTCTGTATCACCCATTGACAAAACTTTACTAGATATCTAGGAAAGACTTGCTTCATAATGCATCTCGTGTCTTCAATGCGTACGAATGTCATATCGTTGCTGGACAGAAACCCGCATTCTCTGCAACGCTCACTACCTACGAACATACAACAGCTCTCTTCGCAGTATTTGTGTACAATGCATTTTGCAGGGACTCTAACTAAGTTACTAGCTCCAAGGGACCCCGCTCTTGAGAGGGGGTCATATAATGACATGCAAAATCGCAAACTGAGAACTGTGCTGGTTTCTGAGATTCACAGCTGGAATGTGTGACTTGCTGAGACTCCCGCTTTGTGCTGCGATTCCCGCTTAAAGTTTGTGTTGAGATTTCTAAGTTTGTGTGCGTACCTGCTTGATGGTTCCCATATACTTGTCGGAGTGCATGATTGTTGGGGTGTGTGTGTGACCCACCAGGGTACTTGTATGCTTGGAAGGTCCTCGGGCCCGGTATTTACCTGTGGCCATGCTTTTGTGGGGTTGGAGCAGGGTCGTAGTAGTAGGCTAGCCCTGCGGGGCTGGAAACACTCAAGTAGCGGGTAGGTTGGGCCACGTGGGTAGGAAATACGTTTCGAGGTTGAGTGAATTTTAGAAGTCCCATAGGCCTAGGTCTAGGGGGACCACTCCAGTAGTCTGAGTCTAGGGCCTGTAGCGGATGATGTCAGACCTGCAATGATATTTCCCTCTGAAAGGAGGAAGGTACTGGATGCTTGGGAGGCCGAGCGGCCTGGAAAGCAACCGCCCAAGAGGCAAATGGCCCGGCATACATCCAGGAAGAGCAATGAGCTCTTTCTCATTCTGCAGTGTGCAAGTTTGGCATCGTACTGCTGGAGCGAGCGCTTGGCCAGTCCAGCACTGGGGAGGAAGAAGGTGGCCTGGCCCTCCACCTTCGGCTATGGTAGAGCAGACCAGGAGGTAGGCTCTGGGGTGTAGGAGGAGGAGGAGGAAGAAGGTGGGCAGCGAGGAGAGTGACGGGGGTACTTACCTGGCTATGGTGGATAGCATCTTCATCTTCTTGGTTGGTGCTGCACCTAGAGGGCCCCATCGGGGGTGCGCTGCTTTAAGGAAGACTTCAGGACAGAGTTAGGCATGACGGCCATAGTAGAGGGGACATATCAGCTTTGCGTTGTCCTTTGAACATCGGGGCAAGGCCCCACTAGTCCGCCATAGACACTTACCATAGAGAGGAGGAGGACGGTGTAGGTTGTGGCTATGGTGGACCTCATGTATTGTTGGCAGTAAGGCGGAGGTTCGGATTCTGGTTCTGGTTCATTCTTTCATTGTTATTACTATTATTCATTGTATTGAAGCAGCTGAGGGAGATAAGGAGGTTGAAGGTGATGACGAGTTGCAGAGGGGATTTGACATTGGTCTTTGCTGGTGTACATCCTCTTCTTGTTCTTCCATTCTTTGTTCTTCTTCTCCCTTTGGCTATTTCTCTTTCCAAGCTCTTTCATTTCATTTGGAATTGAACAACATCGTCTTTCTTTGTGTCATTGCACTTCGAAATAGCCAGGATCATAACAATAGCAAAAGCGATCTCTCCCCTGGCCCCATGCAAGAAGGCAGGACTCTCTCTCTCTCACAGGCAGGGTGCTGATCATCAACTCATCGGTCTTTTCCCCACTATAGTACCTGGCTTCCATGTGGTTCCCCCCCACGAACACCTGAAAGATTTAACGCCTCGCGCCCAATGCATTTTTTGTGGATGGATGATCCAAAGAGGCAAACCTGCATCTCGAGAGTCGCTTGGCAATTACCTATTCAGCGCCCCTTACATAGATAACCCACTCAAAGCTTCCTCCCATTACCTATTCAATTTCTAGGCCATCATCCTTTTCCTGATATGGGGAAGATTTTCACACAAATGCTCGCCATTTTCACACAAATGGACTTTCTTAGTTATGGGCTAATTTGTGTCATTTGGGTGCGCATCTCGAAAGAGTTTGTAGGGTCCCAGCTTCACCGATCGGGTAGTCGTTGATCTGAGTGCCTTGTTAATGTTTGCACGCCCCTCCCCAAAAAGCAAAACTTATCAAAAATCATTGCACTTTGATTTGTTAAAGTTTGTTTTCATTTCGAATTGACAGTCATGCATGGCGAGCATTTGTGTGAAAATCTCTAGGCTCTGTCTGGGGGTTGTTCCCTGTATAAAAAGGAGACCCCAGCCTCCCAGTTTCTCCAGCGATACGTTCTCCTTTGTGCATATAATGCCCTCAGCAGGAGGTTCTCTGGGAGGTTATCACATATTAACTTGAAGGGGGGTTTATAGCGCATCGTGTCTCAAGATTTGCCCATGATGCCATTACCACAGCAATCAACATAACCTCAGCCTTTCCAAGGGCTCCAAGGCCATGTGGCCGAATGCTGCAACCTTCAACTGTTGATAAACAGATATGAGTTCAGATCCCAACTCAACACAGATATGAGTTCAGATCCCAACTCAACACAGATATGAGTTCAGATCCCAACTCAGATAAGTAAAATAAGTTTAAATAACTCCTAATAATCCGTGGTTGGTCAGTTCGATGATGACCATATCTCAAGGTCATTGCCCTTTCCAAAAAAGAACGAAACGACAGTCAAGGACTCAACTCATACTCTCACTATGATATTTTGACTTAGCTCTTGGATGTAATTACGGTGAGATACATCCAGGTTGGGCCCTAAATGGTGTCAGATACGTTTACGATAGTCATAGTGCAAGTATGCCCTCTCAGATTGTCATACAGAAACCCCCCAAGAAAGAAGCACATATGTCTGACAAAACCCCTGGTGGTGCAAATTAAAATTTGTTAATTTCTTCATCCCAGCCCACACAAGTGTGCCATCTTTCATCATTTCGCTATCCGTTTCTCTATCCCATAGCAATCCGCGGTCTCGGGATGTAGGAGCGAAGCCTGGGGTGATGATTTCCCTCATTTCTCATTGATCCATGTGTTGCATGCGCAACAGAGAGGCCACCTCAGCTTCTCCACTCTCGCTTTCGACTCTTTTTTTTTTCTTTTCTTTTTCTTCTGCTTTTTTCTGAGCACTTGTTTCCCTGCAAATCTTGAAAAAGCAAGCTATAAATCTAACAGAAAGTAACAGAAGAAGATTATATAAAAGGACTTCAAAGAGGAAGAAGAGATTTATAACTTTGCATGTCCAAAATTTGTCAGGAATGGCGTGGCAATCGTGGCCGCAGGCAGTAAGGGTTTTTTTTTGTTGGCTGACCTGTCCAATGAATGCTATGACAAGAAGAGAGGTGAAATTGCTGAGCTCGCTGTCCTCAGGCATAATCACGTAGACAACAGCCTGCAGCTTGTAGAAGATAAACCAGTACCAGGCCACACCCAGGCACACAAGAGAGAAGAGCCTCGCCACTGACACTCCACCTTCTATACCTGCCCTCAACAGAAACTGGGGTTGGAATTGTGGAATTTGAGGAAAAAAGGATGCATGCATGGATGGATGGAGGGATGAAGCAGACGTGATCGAATGCAGAACCAATGAACAAAAACGAGAAAGAAAAAGACAAAGACAGCCAGGAGTCAGTGGCCGCAGGTTTACTTTGGCACCTTGCTCTTTTCTATTTTTCCTTTTTTAAGAAAAAGGAACATGGACTAATTTCATACACCTAGGGCAGCCGTGCCCTAGTGAATGTTTGTTTGCATGAGTATACTCTGGACCTAGGCTACGAGAGCGGCCCGGGACCACTTGCCCGGCCGGGCCAAAAAAAAAAAAAAAAAAAAAAACCTTCATTTTTTTAATTTATTTTTTGGTAAAGAAGTTCGATGTGATCCGGAGGCAAACGTTGCTCAGTTTATTTTTCTGCATAACATAGTTTTTTTTTTCAGATTTTTTGGTTTTGTTTTGTTTTTTGGCTGGAACCTACTTTGGCCCTTGCACGGCCGGGCCACCCGGGCAAACAAGGTCACCCGGGCGGCCCAGCTGGTAGCCTAGCTCTGGACCAGTTTATTTCTCTTCTCCTAACCGGTCCAGTTTACCATTTGGCAGCTTTTTTCATCTTCCTCAATGTGCAGCGCAGTTCTCTCTACCATCTGGACTTATTGAGACCCGGCTGATCACTCTAAGTAGAGAAGGGGGGAAAGGGGTGTGCCACAGGGGGATCTTGAAAAATAGCAGGATAGTGAGGGGGTTAGTGTGAAAAGGGGGTTGTCGCCCTTGTGGGGAAAGGGGTTTGTGTGGAAAGGTGGTTGGTGGGGAAGGGGGGTAGGGAAAAAGGAGAACAATATATGCATTGTGTCCTCCGCAAGAATAGAGCCTCACATAGTGTGCTATTTTTACTACACGAATCGGTTAACTTAAACCACCAGTACTTGGCCCAGCTATCATCCGCGGCGCTCTCCCGTTAATGCGCTGCGCCTTTAGGGCTTCGGGGTACCGGACCACAATGGCTGGAAGCGCCAGCCAAAAAAAAATTGAAATGGTACCCGGCCGCTTCGGCGAAAATTGGCGCGCCGTGGCATTCCAGGCTCGGCATCGATAGCTGGGCCAAGTACTGGTGGTTTAACTTATTGATTTTGTCGCCATTTAGATGAAGTCCCCCAAGCTTCTTCCTGTGTAGCCATTCTGGTTGAAGTACCACAAGCTTCCTGTGTGCTCTGATCTCTGTGTCTACCTGTACCTGTTGCTGAAAGATAATTTGCTTAGCCTATTTTTCCTACATGAATGGGTTATTGATTTCTTCTGGCTTCTCAGAAGACTGATTGGGGGGTCTCCAAAGGGGACGGATTGCCAGCATTCTCTGGGACGGAGGAGACCAACCGGAAGAACAGGCGATCAGAAGAGAGACTATCGATTGAAGTTCAACGACTGGACCAAGATCAGCCCGGCAGTACCGTTGCGAACCCCCTCGGAGTTCCCGGATCTCTTTCCGGCCCAACAGCTCAAGCTGGTGGACCTGCCAGCATTCTCTGGGACGGAGGAGACCAACCGGAAGAACAGGCGATCAGAAGAGACTATCGATTGGAGTTCAACGACTGGACCAAGATCAGCCCGGCAGTACCGTTGTGAAACCCCTCGGAGTTCCCGGATCTCTTTCCGCCCCATCAGCTCGGGCTGGTGGACCTGCAGTGTTACGGGGACGCAGAGGCACGGCCCGAAATACCGCCGCTCACATTTCGCTGGCGCCTAGGTAGTAGTGGCAGAAAAAAACAAAACCGGGTAATGGCCCCAGAGTAGAGGTTGGCAAGCTTATAAAATCTCTCCTTCAGCGCGCCGCTTTCTACTTTTGGTATTTCAACTCTTTTTTATGTGTTTTTGTTTTTTTTTTTGTTTTAAGAAAAAACAGACCCAGTGCCAAGTATTCGCTTTGTAGGAGAATCTCTGAGCTATCTCAGATCAGGAGAGACGGGAGAACGACGCACTGATGCTCAGACGGTTTGCGGATGACCAACCTTGGAAACCCCTCCCGACTCCGATCTCTGATCTTCGCAACCGCTTTCCCTTACAACTATAACTCCCTTTCTTCTTCTGCCAATCCGTGCGATCACCATCTCTGCTGCTATCCTCTGACTGTATTCCTGTCCTTCGCTGCCCATTCGGCTGTGAGGGCTTCTCCCAAATCTCAGCTCTCCATCCATCACGTCCCTTCCTCCATCTTCCCTCTTCCCATCCTGCGTCCTCTCGGACTTCTGCCTTCTCTTCTCTTCCACTCCTTCCCACCACTACAACATAGTACACGCACACGCTTCCTTCCGTATGGCCAAAGGACCCCTGACCAGCATTGATTGCTCCTCCGGAGGAGGATTGAATGTCAGCTTGCCCTGCCCACTTGTTCCTCTCAGGCTCCCACGCAAAAACAAAAAAAGTGGAAGGATCTGCTTCCGCTTGTGTTTCTGAGTCTTCCTCCTCTCCCGCTCGTCCGACTGTCTCTGCTGTTGCTCATCATGATATTTCCTTCTTCCTGGGGTTCTCGGCTTGACATGAACTCATGGCTGGGCCTGGCACCACCTCTTCCATCTCAGCCTGTTATCTGTTAGGGTGGCAACCTTGCCCTTTAGAAGCCAGTCTCTCGGGAATGTTCATCTCTTGATTGCTTGTCTTTCTGGTCTGTGTTTCATAGAAGCCGCTTTCTTCCGCCATCTGCTCCGGATTGCAGTCTCCACCATACTCAGCAATACAGACCACATTTCTTCCCGTGCCACCTCTGCTCCCTCGATTGTCCGTGTGCATCTGCATTGCCATATGACCCAGAGTGCCAGTTTCCTGAGCAGATTTAACCAGGCTTCTCTGCTGCCCTCGATGTTACTGGGGGTGTTAGCGAAGAGTAGGATAGTTAGAGGGGGGATGTTGGGGGGTGGTGTTGCAAAGAGGATCGACCAGAGTTCTAGAACCTTGTTCCAGATCCAGGTCACTTCCGGACAGAAGAGAAGGCAGTGGGGGATGTCTGCGGGTACGTGGTTGTTACACAGCGCGCAGGATGCTGAGTTGTTTGGGTCGGAGTGTTTCCTTCTCTCGTGAAGCCATTGGTTGACAGTGAGGGATGTTTGTGCTATGAGCCACTGCATGCTATGGATTCTGATCGGTCTGATGAGAAGATATTTGGTCCATGGGATGGTGAGGGAGGTCGCCGAGTCTAAGTGAAGGATGTTTCTCCACTTCTCCACCAGCTTGGGGTTCGGGTCTGTGGTCTGCAGTCCGAGGTCATACCCGAACTTTACATCATATTCCGTTATCGTTCTCGACTTTCCGGTGATGCCCTGCTCCCATATCCACTCTTTTGAGTCGAATTTGAGCTCCTCAATGCTTAGTTCTGGTTGGAAGATGATCCACGGCTTACTGTGAGAGACTCTAACCTTCCTAAGCACGAAGGCTTCTACCCGTTCGTTCTGAGGTGCTTTGTTTTAAGATTCTAGTTCGTACAGACTGCGTTTGGTGATGGGGTAGGATGTGAAGTTGGCCTGGTAGCTGGTTGGATCTGGTCTAGATACGAAGCGATAGGCTCTTGTTGGAGGGATCTGGGAGATGGGTAGGCCCCAATCTCCTGGTTTCCACGTGCATTTCTCTGTTAGGAGTGATGTCCATAGGGGGGGGATGCTTTGGTGGATTTCCGCTACGTTGGTGCTCATGGAGTGACAGCCTTTCAGGGGAGTCTGGAGTTCTTGGTCGGATAGCCAGTTCTGTCACTCCTCGAACCATAGATGTTTGACCTGCCATACTCCTCTCTCTACCCAAGATAGCCATCTACGATCTTTAGCCCGAAGGGTCCAGGGCTTGCCCTTTGTGCCTTTGATCCAGGGATTGCAGGACAGGGGCTGCCTTAGGACTTCCTCTCTATGTCTCAGTGCCCCTCTCTTGTTTGGCACCAATCGGCGCCAGACCTTCAAATCGGTGTCCAGTAAGTGTTGGGTGTGGGATCAGGCTGAGTAAACAGTGCTTGCTGGGTTTCCCTCGTTGATCTCTCTGATTTGAGTGACCAGTCTTTGGATCAGGTTTTCCTCGTTGATCTCTCTGATTTGAGTGACCAGTCTTTGGCCATGATCCAGAACAGGCCACTCGTGTTAGGTGGAGAGGTTACAGGTGCCAGGTTCCTTATGCTGTTTAAGGCTAGTTTAGTCCAGGGAAGCGATTATTTGGTTAGGATCTTTACTATCCATTTCATCTGAAGGGTGATCGCTTCTTGTTTTGGGTCGATGATGCCTAGACCCCCTTCGTGCGGTTTCCTGATGACAATTTGCCAGACCACTTTGTTTATGCAGGTGGTTCTGTTGGGGTCTCCGGTCCACAGGAAGCATCTGGCCCTAGCCTTCAGGGTCCTCAGGTCGTCATCAGGCGGGGACCATATAAATGCCACGTACCATAACGTGGAGAATATTGTCCGTGGAGAATATTGTCGTGTTAAGGATTAGTGCTCCTAACAACGTTGTGCGATGCTGGACCTGGTTTCCAGAAGCTTCAGCTCCCCACCAATAGAAGGGGTTTCCCTTTCGTTCGGAGAAAAAAAAAAAAAAAAAAAAGTAGACAGGGGGCGAATCGAAACCCCTGAGGGGACGCGTTGTCGGTGCGAATACCCTTACAAGGGTATCCGCCCTGATTTTTGCAAGTGACAGAAAGGCTTGGTTAACCTGGATCTTGAGTGCCCGGGAGGGAAAATGCGAAGGTCGCCCGCACGTAGGCAAGGGTCTGTCTTGTCCCGGTAGGGAGTAGATGGGCGCGCAATATTTAAGGCGCGCGTGTGATTTTTCCTAATTGAGTAGGCGGCCGGGGTAGCCGACCGACCCAGACCGTGTTACGGCCCTGGTTAGGGAATGAAAGTTTGTTTTTGATAGGCGTGCGTGACCGAGGGTAAGGCTGGCGCGCCGATAGGCGCATGGGACGGCCATGGCGCGGGGTGGTAGACCGACGCGGACACCTAGGGTCCGTGGGTGCAATTGTGGGCCGAAAAAGTAACCAGGGCAGTCTCTTGGCCGGAACGCCGCGCGGCACCACTTTATATGGGGAGCCGCGCCTGCCAATCACAGGCTTGGGCTTAGCCCTATCGGTTACGACGTTCGATTGTTTCAGCAGAGGTATGAGGTTCGAGACCCGCGGACGGCGGTACGGGAGCGACGGAGCTGCAAGGAGCAAAAGGGGTCGAGGGTCCCATGGGACTATCCCCCTTTCTGCGAAGGGAGCCAACTGCGGGCCCGCATTGCAGGATCCAGGGAGCGTCGGGGGGGGGGTCCGCGCACGGCGGAAAATTTGGGTAGTATTCCCTCCGTTGGCGGAATTTTTATCTTGGTCCGTACTGCCGCTTTGACCCCCGCGCATGGGGGTGGGTGGTAATCGGGGGCAGGCCCTTAGGTACAACCGAGATGGCACGAAGAGTCCGGAGAAGATCCCGGACGAGAACCTGACTGGGTACACGCGCGAATGAGGAAGGGAGGCCGGATTCGCACGTGATGCCAACGAGATGGGCAAGTGCCGAGATGTGGGGGGTTGTTGCCAGCGGAGGTCCCTCGGGGAAGTTTTGCACAATGACAGTGCAAGGAACGTCGCGAAAGTCCGGGGATGAACCCGGAGGTAATACAGGATAAGGGCGTGCAAAGGAGAAAAGGGAGAGGGCCTGTGGCCTTTGGAGGTGCTACGGGGTGGTTACCATGACGGAAGCCCTTCGGTGTGTCTGCTAAAAATCGGATCGATGGATCCGTAAGGTAGCTGCGTAAGGGGGAGGGGAAGGGTAACACCCATAAACAGGGAATGAACCAGGCCGTAAAACGGGCCGGGTGCTGGTAAAAGGAGGATTGTCTGGGTTCGTAGGGTTGCCCCGGGGCCTATGGCCAAGTAGTGACGTGAGGTGGGCGCGGTTGTATGAATCCGGCCTCCAAAAGGGGCTAGGTCGAGGCGAGGAAAGCCATAGAGAGGGGTGGAGGGAGGACGCGTGAAGGCCCGGAAGTGCTGACGTGGCAAAGCTCTCCGGTATCCCGAGAGAATCGGATCTTTATAGGAAAGATCTGTGGAGTACGAAAAGGGGAAGGCGCGGAGGAGATGGTGGGGGTCGGGGACGAACCTGGGCGAAGAACTGGGGCAAGGGTAGGCGGAAGAACTGGGAGTCCTTCGGGACATTTGTTAAAATTGGAATGATACAAAGAATATTAGCACGACGTACGAATTCTAAGAATACGGGGAAAGATTCGTACGACACCCGGGCAGGGGAATGCGTAAAGGTTCGGAGTGGACCGGGACGCAGCGACAGGGAAGGGGCGGAGGCCGGACTGGGATACCCTACGGCCGGATGCGTCTGGCGGCTACCTGGGGAGTTGGCAAAGGGGGGGGATGCACCCACTATGGATCCGGCCGCAAGGGGTGGCCAGACACGGGTAAGAAAAAGGCAAAAAAAAGGGGGGGGGGCGCGGAGATTTCTCCCCAGGCTGACGTCACGTGAGAATCCGTCAGGGCATCCGCCGAATTGGAGTGAGGCAGGAAAGATCGGCGGGCCGCGAGCGTGGTGGCAACTATAAGTTGGTGTGCGGTCGGTGCCCCGCGGCTGTTGACTTCCTTTTTCGAAGCGCCTCGTTTTGTTGACGCGGTATGCCTTGGCACACCGACGAGCGCAGCGCTGTGGAAGGACGAAGTGGGTTGGCGAATGAACGGGGGCGTGGGGGAGAGCCGGGTGCATGCAGGCGTAGGAGACTGGAGATGGCGGAGAGTCGGGCTGGGCGTAGCAGAGAGTAGGGAGCTCGCTCAGTTCTTGGCTGTTTTGGGCGGGGAAAAATGCGTTTTGGGGGTTCTCGATGGTTGCGAATCCAATGGAGGGGTTAGACTTGGTAGTGGGATAGTATATTTAGTGCTGGTAGAGAAAAAGATCGCGCAGTGGTCGGAGACGGCGACGGAAGAAGAAACGAAAGAGATAAAAGTTGGCCACCGGGCTGTCCCCGACCGTTCGTGATGAGTAAGGACTCTCGATAGGGGATTCTGGGCACTGCGATCTCAATGATGGGCTCAGGCCTCGTGGAAGGGATGTAAATTCGGTGCTGTAGCAGGCATGGGCCGCGCTCGGGAAGGGCTAATTTGGGATGGACAATGTATCTTCCCACATTTTGTGGAAGGTTCGTTCGAGTTCTGTTCGTTCTGCTGGTGGAAGAAGGAGGGGGCACCGCGCGGAGTTGCTGGGGATCAGGTATGACTGCGTGAAGGGCTGAGTTTGTCGATTC